CGAGCGACTTCACCCGTGGTTCAAGTCGTTCCACTTCTTCAACTCCGTCTTTCACTCTCACTCGTACTCTCACTCTCACTCCGATTTCCCGCTCCTTGTCGCTGACTCGCCCGTCCGCCGCACCACGAGACAGTTGACTGCCTGCGTGACAGAGCTCTGGCTGCGACGTCCAACACTCATTGCTAACTGGTAAGTGATGAGGAACTTTCCCCGACATGTCACTCACATTCATACAGGAACACTCAGAAGGATATTTTATTCACTCAAACATTGAGCTTTGGTCGGTGGAGTGCATCTGGGGTCAGGGTGAATCGGGTATGTGTATTGTAATATCATTATGGTCTATGCTCATGATCACGTCCAGAATGTGCTGTTTCATTGTGGCAGGCGGGCTCTAATAGGTGTGACTGTGACAGGCAGTCTGGTATTTACAAGATTATATGTACTGTATATACACAGTGTCTGTAGATAGCATTGCAATATATGCTTCATTTTCTTATTCATATGCAAGGAGCAATAAAATCAAGCAGCTGTATGAAATGTGAAAGCCCGCTGGCCAGAAAACCCGCTTTCTCGTTGTCCAGCCCGGATGTCAGCTTGATAACCGACTCTAACCTTGACTCGACATACGAGTCAAGTAGAGGCCAAGTTGATCCTCGGTTTTTATATCGAGTCGATGTCACGCGTAGGGCCTGGTGGGGTCTGGCGTCTGACCTTGCCGAAACCCTTTTTTAGACTGGGTGTGTAGAGAACCACAAAACAAGCCTGCCTGTCCCATTTCACCATCCCGTACATTTTTATTAGGGAGTCAGGGACATCGGGGACTCGAATCTGGACTTTCCCTGGCGGTACAAGGTCCACTACATATATCCGGTAGGGGTCACACTGGCAATATTGCCACAACTGTTTCTACCTGAGATCATGACGGGATATGAAAGGTACACGTCGCAGTGTTGTGCCGGTTGACGCCAGTTAGGTTGGTTGATTCGTTAACTTTAGAACTAGTTGACTACAGTTCTCCTGACCGCGACTTTTCGACAACCCGTCCCACGAGTGCAACTCTCCCACAGCACCTTATATGGAAGCGTAGTGGCTGAAGGCGCACCTCATGCGCTCTCACGAAACTCTTTATCATGGGCGTTCCTGAGTCACCTCGAGCTTGTAACTTGGTGTTCGCAGCAGCAGGGTAGTCATGTAAGTTTAATATATTGCCCAGATGAATTAATTCTGTCGACACTTCACCATGCAATCTATGGAGTGGGGTCTTGGAGAACATTTGCACCGGCACCACTCAAGCACGCGGTGCGAGGGTTATATTCACCTGCTGTTCAAGCGATGGCTTTCCAGCTACCCATATTGTTTCAAGTGCCAGCTCCATGTCTGGGCAGCCTCGTCCCCAGGGCTCGAGCAACAGATCAACGCTTCGGGTAGAATACTTTTATGATCACCCCGCGCTAGCATCAAAGCACGAGTCAGCATACACGAATTCCAGCAAAGACAAGGCAAAGGTTTGGTGTAAACGATGCTTTGAAAATTTGGTCATGGGCGAACTGGTTCTCGATGAGCAACGCTTGCGCGCGGGAGAGGTTGCCGTGGTCCGAACGCGGATGGAGATTGAAAGTGCTCGTGAGCTAGACCATTCTCCTCCCCATCTCATTAGTAATAGCTGACGGTTTTGTGCTAGTATGGGCACGTCCCAAGGAGACTCCAAGCTCCCAGAGATGGCAAGCTGGCCATATGCCGACGATGCGAACCCATCTTGCTTCGTGCAGTCTGCAACCTGATGAGGTCCGTGCGGCTGCAGCCGTCCAGCACGATGTTAAGGACAAGTCACCGAGGAAAGCACGCTATCGTAGCTTGGTGGAGCACGGCGGATCTGCCACGATCCACTCCCCATCTCCGAGCCCTTCATTTCCCCAGCTTGCTGGCATGCCAGGTCCTTCATCAAGTAACATTCTGCCGCTGACCGGTCCGACCTTGCAGTATAGCGAGCGCTCAATGTACGCGCAGCCGTCTGCTGTCGGGACATGGCTTACATCAATGTCAACCAGCATACCATCGACACAGTTCACTCTCAGTGCTCCGTATCCCACAATCTCAGTTAGCAGTCCCCAATTCGGTTCTAATCAGGTTGGCTCCCCGGCACTCTCACAAATCCATACACCGCCAGACTCTGTATCGACAGTGTCACCAATGCCGAGCCCATTGGTCACCGGTCTCGGACTGGAGATGCCTGCCGCGGAAAGCCGTGTTCGTGCACTTAAGAGACGAAAGACGGGTCTCGCAGACCATCAGGCAGTGGTGCCATGGTCCGAAGCATGCCAGATGCGGTTCGACCGTCGCTTAGCGCGACTTACTGCGGCTCAGGGCTGGTCTCTGTCTTGGGTGGAGAACATTGAGTGGCTGGAATTTATTGAAGAGTTCCTCCCTCAGGCACTTCTTCCCTCTCGGAAAGTCCTGACGAAGACACTTATCCCGGGGGAGCTTAAAGCACTGAAGCAGAAGGCCCAGCAGCAATGCCGAGGGAAGGAGGGCACTTTGGAGACGGACAGTTGGAGTGGGGTCAATCAGCTACATCTCGTCCCGTTCATGGTAAACGTAAATCGTCAGGTACGTTTCGTAGTATGTTGTCAAAGTACCATGGACTGACATCGCTCAAAGCTGCATACTGTGAAGGTCTATGATACTACGTCCCGAGTTAAGAACGCCGAGAACCTTCTGGTGATGATCCGCGAAGTAATCAATATTGTCGAGAACGAATGGGGTATTATAGTTGTCGCCATCACGTCGGACTGTGGGGGTGACTCCCGGGCAGCTCATAAAGCAATTGTCCAGGAAAACACGCGCCTGGTAGGGCCGGACTGTTACGCACATCAGGTACGCCCACTATCGACCCTATATTTGTCTTTGAGTCATATGGTAACTTATGTATCGTGTGACAGATCAATCTTATTGTAGGAGATTACTTCAAAGTGTCCGCATGGTTCTTCATATACTCCGAGAAGGCGGATCAAGTCATACGATGGCTGCGTAGTCGCACGTACCTGCTGGCGATCCTGCGCGACATACAGCAGCGAATATGGAGTAGGACTCTGGCTGTCGTCCGCGCTGTGCTGACTAGGTGGACTTCACACTTCCTGGCGTACAGGCGGCTCCTCGAGATCAAGAATCCACTGGAGATTCTCGCTTCTGACCCCCGTATCTTCGAGTCTGGTGACGCGAAGAGCCATGCTAAGACCCGCGAAATGCTTCCTATCCTACGTGACAGTATGTTTTGGCACTATCTTGCCCGGTACGTTGTGAAACTTCTGAATGGATCATTCCCGCGAAGCTCATGGATGTGTTCAGTATCAAGTTCCATATCCAGCCTTTCGCAATTGCTGCCAATGTGACCCAATCTGCGCACTGCCGCCTAGATGAAGTGCTATTAACTTTCGCTTTCCTCCTCAAGCAGTTTTTGGAGCTAGCGGATCCGGACGATCAGCTGATCAAAGAGGCTGTAATCACAAGCCTCGAGACTCGATGGGCGAAGGCTGACCAAGACGTATTTGTAGCAGCTGTAGTGCTGAACCCGTTCGTGAAGGCAGGTGCTTTCGCGCAGTTGCATCTCTTCCACAATGCCGGCCTCATGGCTCTTCTTTCTCGACTCTGGACACGCTTTTATGATACCTCTCCTCCGGAGGCGTTCCAAAGTGAAGTCTTGGAATATTTGAGTGGAACAGGGAAGTATGAAGACATGGAGTCATATGCGGATGCTATTCAGGCGAAGGCAAGGCAGAACGTAAGTTGTCAAGTCAGAAAACACAGTTTGTGGGCTGAATCGAATGTTCCACTCTTGCAGAAGACAAGCCCGGATCCTCTGGAGGTCTGGAAGGGCGTCTCATTTTCTGGAGCACCACCAACACCTCTGGGCACTCTGGCGAACCGCATACTCTCCATCTGTGCAAACTCAGCATCGGTTGAGCGGCTTTTCAGCGCCTTCGGACTTATCCTTACGAAACTCCGCAATCGACTTGGTACACAAAACCTAACGAATCTTGCGGAGCTCAAGATGTATATCCAGGATGAGCACCGTCAGAAGAACTCGAAAACGCGCTTGAAGAGACATTTCGAGACTACAGCAGCTCGTTCGTCAGCGGCGCCTACTACATTGGAAAACACGGGATCTACTATATCTCTGAACTCTCCGGTTCCCGTTGTACCATCTTCCTCTATTCACCATGCACCAAGCAGCATCTCGGCCTCGGTCCCCCCCTCTTCCTCGGATGTCGAACCGGTGGCAGAATCAGATGAGACCACCGCCTCTACTTCAAGTCACATTCCACGAACCAGACTCCGTGCTATTGTAGCGGAACTGCATGATGCGATCGATCGCGATGACGACGTCAATACTACACAGACATTCCCTTCGCGCATCAAGGAGAAGCTTTCGAACATGTTTAACTTTCAGCAGAGCTATTGGATTGAGTCGCATACTCGAAGTGCCATGAGGAGCCTCGAGGATGAGATGGAGGTCTACGAACTGCTTGATCTGGATGCTGCAGGGGAAGACAACTTTGAAGAGGATTCGGGGGATGCTATATTAGGTGACTGATGTACATATTTCCGTTGTGTCAGAGCATTTCTACCCTACTTGTGGGTCCTGCCATACGAAGTTACCTAGCGCCACAGTGCCGTGGGGAAGTTATCGAAAGTCCACGTGAACTAGTTGACAAGTTGACGGTCAAGCCAACTTTCGTCAACTAGTTCGGAACTGGCACAACACTGACACGTCGTTAAGTACCAGCCGCCGGCTTTCCACTCCTAATCCTAATCTGCATGAAACACTCTGATATTCGAACGTATTCAGGGGGTATATATATCCTGCTTACACCCAGTGCTACGAGATATGTAGGTACGAAATGCAATCCTCCCTACAAAGTTGAGGACGCAGATTATGTAAGCGAGTCGCGCAGCGCCTCAGGACCCCTGAAAATACCGATAGATGCCGGTGCCAGTCCGGACAAAAAAAGCGCCTCGGGCGAGGGACGCCGGAGCCAGTCCGGACGTAAGTAGGGGTCTCAGCCGTCCAACCCGGTTTTTTAGTCCGGACACCAACGGCACTCCAGCAGTGAGGCCGGTTGTAGTCCGGACATGGTCAGCAGCCCGCCACTTCGTCGCGACTAGTACATTATCATTACCCGGTATGGTATTTCTCACCGAATAAGGATAGACATGCCTCCGTAGTCGTGAACCCTCGGGTACCCCTTATTTATAACAGTTTTTAGTATCACGCTGAAATCCGGAGGCACACATGGAAGACACAGCTGGGTGCCGGATGCCTCCAATATCGCGGCGGTATCGTATCTCGCCGTCCAGGGCTACGAGGCCATGAACGGGCGGGTATTTCGCGCTGTCTCTCAGACCCTGGCAATGCACAATGCCTGCCGAATCACTCATTTGCCTGCCATGTCTTTTCTTTGCATGCTGGAGATCTCAAGCCCGAAGGCTCTTCCGTTATCTATTGAACTTTCTACCTCAGACTATGCACGTTTCAGGTTTTCATACATACACCCTAGTATCTAGTGTCTAGAATGACTTGTGGACTACAACGGGTGATTTTTGCTGTTTCCTAGAGGCCGGGGCAATAGTCCGGACATGGATCCGACCTTGGCCGATGCCGGTATTTTATCCGGACATAAAGGCGGGGGGGCGCCAAAAACAGTCCGGACATGACAAAATCAAGTCCTGCACCGGCATCTATCGGTATTTTCAGGGGTCCTGCGATGCCCCTTGATAGAGACCCATCGAGAGAGGTGGTAGCTAGGCATACAGCTGGGGGCAGAGTATAATGATTTACAGCCCTTAGTGTAGTTGTAGAATATACATTTCATGCATTCTCTGAAGCCTTTCGAGCCCTCTCGGGGCATCTGCGAGTCCCTGCGCAACAAATGGTCCCGCGAGAGGCCTTCCGGACCTACCCGAAAAGGGTATATTTGGCGCGAGCAAACAACGCGCGCGGAAATGCGATGTGCAGTTTCTGAGGCAAGGCAGTGTACTGCACGTCGGACACTGTCGGACAGCGTCGAACCCGGACGTACCGCGGGTCCAAACATGGCCTATCTACTGACTACTATTGAGGAGACGTCGTTTACAAGTCTATGCAAACGTGTGCGCGCCAGGCACATCAGAGCGAGAACCAGATGGACGAGAGGTCAGAGGACCTGAACTGACGCCCGGGTATCAATCCGGGGTTGGGGAAACTGTCTCTTTAGGAAATTGTGGCTCCGCGAAGGCTGGTGCCCCGCCATCAAACCCCAGATTCATGTGGGCAACTCCAGGTTGAAACGACACATGCCAGCCTAGAAAGACGCACATGATGCTCAGCATTGTTGCTGAACTCTATCAAGATGAAAATGAGGGATGAATATTGCCATGTGCGGCCCGTTGCGACCGATACATAAGCCTCGAGAGGCCACCAGGCTCGCAGGGTCTCTCCCTTCCTCGACCACCGCTTTTCGAGCGCCAATATGGGTAAAGGCGTATGTACGACGCTTGGATGTATAGAGGACTTGCTAACATAACCCGTCATCGTAGTACAACGCCGCCATTGCCGCCAACCCCGTAAGTTACATTCCGTCTGGTTGGGTTCGTTTTCTTATCGTGATTAACTGTAGTATGTCGTCGGGTCGTTCGCATGTATCGGCGGTGGATTGTTTGGTCTGGACATCTCGTCCATGTCCGGAGTCCTGAACGTATGTATCGTCGTATTTTAGCATTGTCTGGGTCTCAAAAAAGTTATCTATGACAGAATGACGCCTACCTCAGGACCTTCCACCATGTACGAATTTCTCGCTCCTCTGAAATCGCGCCGTCGACTAACTCCTAAATTTTGGTAGCCGGGTTCCAACGCTCAAGGCGCTATTGTCGCATCTATGCCTGCTGGCTCCTTCGTTGGTGCCCTCCTGGTCAGTTGGTTGGCTGATAGAATTGGACGCAAGAATACTGTCATTACCTCCGGCTGGATTTGGGTTGTCGGCAGTATTCTCCAGTGTGCCGCACAGGTATGTAAACTTTGTTGCCTGCGATGCCTGGGAGTAACTCGCATCCCATAGAACCGTGGTATGCTGGTGGTGGGTCGTATCATCTCCGGTCTGTCAGTTGGTCTTGCCTCGTCGGTCGTTCCCCTGTACCAATCCGAAATTACCCCTCCCGCCATCCGCGGTCGTCTTGTGTCGATGCAACAATGGTCAGTATATTCACCCCTGTGCCGCATCTTTCCTTACTCAAGTGCGCTGTTTCCAGGGCCATCACATGGGGCATCCTACTGCAATACTTTGTCCAGTTCGGCTGCTCCTACATCGACGGTGTCGCCTCCTTCCGCATCCCCTGGGGTCTCCAAATGATCCCTGCCATCATCCTCTCTCTCGGTATGCTCTTCTTCCCGGAGAGTCCCCGTTGGCTCATGGACAAGGGTCGCGAGGACGAGGCATTGCAGGTCCTCGCAGACCTACACGGTAACGGCGACAAGAACAATGAGCTCGTCGTACTCGAGTACGAGGAGATCCGGGCGCAGGTGTACTTCGAGCGCACGGAGGGCGCACGCTCGTACCTTGACCTGATCAAGCCTGGTGTCCTCCGCCGGGTGTCGCTCGGCTGTTCGATGCAGATGTGGTCGCAGCTGTCGGGTATGAACGTCATGATGTACTACATCGTCTACGTGTTCCAGGGCGCAGGCCTCACCGGGCGCCGCGCGAATCTCATCGCCGACTCCGTCCAGTACGTCCTCAACGTGGCACTTACCATTCCCGCGATCTTGTACATCGACCGGTGGGGTCGCCGCCCGCTCCTCATTGCCGGTAGTGCTTTGATGGGCTTCTGGTTCATGCTTGTTGGCGGTCTCCAGGGCCGCTTTGGTGCTTGGGGAGACGTTGACGGCACGGGTGAGTACAGGTGCCCCTGTCGGTGATTTCGGCGCTCTGACCGAATATGCTACAGAGACTTGGGTCATTACGGGCCACGATGCCGCGACCAAGGGTATCATTGTCTGCTCCTACCTCTGCGTGTGCAGCTTCGCCATCTCCATCGGCCCCGTCTCATGGACCTACCCCGCTGAAATCTTCCCGCTGCGTGTGCGCGCGAAGGCCGTCTCAATCTCCACCGCCACCAACTGGGCGTTCAACTTCGCGCTCGCATGGGCCGTCCCGCCCGGGCTGAGCAACATCGCGTACAAGACGTACTTCATCTTCGGCGCGTTCGACTTTGCCGCATGCATCCACTTCTTCTTCTGCTTCCCCGAGACGGCCGGGCGGTCTCTTGAGGAGGTCGAGGAGATCTTCGCCCAGGGCCACGCCTTCACCGCCTGGAAGATTGGGAGGGACGTCGGGAAGAAGACGGTGGAGGATGCGAAGAAACAGGTCAAGGAACTTGAGCTGGTGAGCTCTACTTCCGCTCAGATCCTGCCCAAACAGACACTGACCAGGCGTTTGTAACCTAGCACGAACACATTGACGAAAAGGTTTCGGACGTATAATATAGCTCCGTCCCTCTTTCTTTCCGGCGCTTCTCTCTCCATACCCTCTACTGTGATGTATTGCGACATGCCTTCCCTCGTTGTAGTGCTTTGAAGTAATAAATTCTTATTTCTTGGGATCGATTATTCAAGTCGAGGTCGTCCAACCTGGGAGCAGGCAGAAATTCCTTGCGCTACGCCTCGGCTTTTGCCGGCGACGACATGTGGCAATGACCTACCTCTGGAGTAGGCTTGATCCTGCGCCTCTTAAAAAAGACTTAGTAGACGAGCAACTGTCTTTAATGGAGGCTTGTACCCGTTTAGTATCAGCGTCGCAGAAGTCCCCCNCCCGAGGC